CTGTAATAGTATGCATGATGGTAGGTCTTGCAATATGAAGATCTGCCAATTCCAATGGCTGACTGTGATGGACACTATTCACATAATCTAATTAGTGCTTCTGATCTATGTGTGATTCCCTTCCAATTGGTCATCAGGTACCCAGCATCCTTTTATCATGGTGGTCTACCGTCTTCAACACTTGTCACAAGACCACTAGGGGAGGGGAAGGATGCTGAAGACCCACGGGAGGGACTGTGATGAGTGGATCCACACGTGCAACTTACTGTGTCTGTTTTTGTTCACGCAGGAACTGTGACTCCCAAAGGAGGATGGGGACTGCAATCTAGTTGTGTGTAAAGGACAAAGAAGAAACAGATTGGTTCATATATAAGATCTTATTATTTAATTCCCAAAATCTATAAAATTACTTTGTTTCCAGATTCACTTCCTTGTATTTGTCATGAAATTAATCCTCTGAAGGCATTTAGAAACCCTTGACTGAAAATCTTTCCTGAGAAAGCCAACAAAGGACATAGAAAGTGTTGTCATTATTTTTGTATGTCACAGAAACATAGCAGCTCCCAATCATCAGCTTTGAATACTCTAGTAAATGAATAAGCAAGCACACAGTGCAAAGCATGCACCTCACAAAAAATATTTTGAAGGAAACATTCAAGTCTTTATGTGTTTGAATAATTGCACCTTTGAAAGGCTCCAAAAGATGCAGGAGGATGCCAGGTTTTAAAACGTTTAATAGAGGTGTATACTATCAATGAGTAGAAAGGAAAAAAGAAAGTACTTTGAGCTTTCTGGAGAAAGAGAGAGAGAGAGAGAGAGAGAGAGAGAGAGAGAGAGAGAGAGAGAGAGAAGAGTGAGAATTGAAAGAATAGCTCCACATAAAGATTATGCACACATGTTCATGGTAGCTTTATTGTAATAGTCAAAACCTAGAAGCAACTCAAATGACTGTCACAGATTTCCCATAATGATGGCATACCATGAAAAAGAATATTTGTTCAAAGTACAAGTAGCTAAATATTAGTACATGATATAAGAATAATTAATCTTAAAATAATTAAATCAAGTGAAATGAGGTAAGCAAAAATGATATGTACTGTATCATCCCCTTTATACATAACTTTACAAAATGTAAACTAATCTATAGCAACAGAAAACTTACAACATTTTCTCTTGGAATTGGAGATGAGATTTGGAAGCAGAGATAACATAGAGAGAAATCATTCTCTCAGGTTTTCATAGGGAGCAAATTGGTCAAGCAACGGGAGTGACTCATCCACATGGCTGACACTCACAAAGGATCTGCAAACTGCAGTACAGGGCTTCAGGGTAAATCCTGAGGGGATCAGACTGACCTTGCCAGATACAAAAGTTACATTTCTTGTTATATAGGTCTTGCTTTATCTTGATCTTAACCATCCAGAAGAAAAGTATAAAAAGAAGGTATTAAAAAGTAAAGTCATATTAATATGCTGAGCTATACAAGACTCAAGTCAACAACTTCTGACGGGGGCTGGTGAGATGGCTCAGTAGTCTGAAGCACCTACTTAGAACAAGCTTCGCAAAACAAGGGGACAGAACAAGCTTCGCAAAGCAAGGGGACCGTGGTTCAATCCCCCAGCACCACATGCCAGCCAGCCCCGCCCCCTGGTGGGCTGAGCTGGCCACACACACATAAATAAATAAAATTTAAACAAACAAACAAACAAACAAAAAAACGCACAAAAAAAACCCAACTTCTGACATTGCCAGTCCTATGTATAATCCACTACTATTATGGACTACTGAACTATTTTGGATTATTTTACTGAATTCACATACCTACAATATTTAAATGGAAATAGAATACCCATCTCTGACAAAACTAAACAAAAACAGGGGATACAAATAAACGACCATTTTCTATCTGTATATACAAAAGAGTTAGGATAGATGTACAACTACTTTCCCTTAATTCAACAAGAAGAAAGATTTGTACTAAGAGTATTTGGATAGGATATCATGTCTGCATCTTGTACTATGAATGAGCACTATGAAGACAACAATATGCAATGTATTAATTATTAAAACTGTCCTACTAATCAGTTTTGAAACTGTCTCATTGTTATTTGTTTCTCAATACAATTAATAAAAACAAAACAAAACAAAGGGTTCCAGGATAATTTGAGAAGAGTGATAGATATGTTTATGTAATAGTAGATACATAAGTCGTATCATATTAAACTAGTATTATACACAATGATTAGGAGCTTTTTAGAGTTTCTCCTTTATGCCTCCATAAAAATGTTTTTATTAAAAATAATATGCAATAACAACAGTTCATTATTAATTTTGTGATAAACCTACCAAAATGCATAAACCAATTATAAACCTAAATTGAAGTACATTCTAGGAAATAATTGAGCAATAACATTTGAAAATTTTAAGGTCTAATCCCAGCTCTTGGGAGGCTGTAAACAGGTAGATCACTATGAGTTCGATCTACTAATGAGACTCTGAACACCCTGTAGACCCTTTCCTAACATAAAAAAAAGAAAAGAAAAAGAAAATTTTAAGGTCTTTAAAAGCTAAAAAAATAAAAGAGTTCCACACTGAGAGAAACTGAGACACAAAAATGCAACATATACATCTGAAGTAGAGTTTGTTTTTTTCTTTGGAAAAGACTTCAGAACAGCTGGCAAAACTTACTTGACTGGAGTGTGAATATTAAATGGTAATTATGTACAAATATTAATTTCCTGGATTTCTGGTTGTGTAGGATTTATGGATTTATAAGAAATACCCGTTTATATTGTAGGAAATACACATTAATGTGATGTGGACCAGACTGGCAGTGTAACCTTTAAATGACTGAAAATAGCCATGTCTTTTATAGTTCTTCATGTCTCCGTGTAAATTTGTTGCTGTCTCAAAATTAAAAAGTTTAAAATAAAACAAGCTCTTAATTTAAAAAAAACAAATAAAAATTGAAAATATTTGCAAGTATATTTCACCATAAAATAGTATAAGGGTTTTGGACAGCTATCTGAAAAGATGTTTGATGTTATTAGTCACTGCAGAATGCTTGTCCAAACCACAAGAGAACACCTTACATATGCATAACATGGAAAAGATTGAGAACATCAAGTATTGAAAGAGAAGGTATAGAAACTGCAAATAGTAGCCACATACTTGAGGAGATCCAAGGGTATATATAGCACTTTGGAAAACACTTTTGCAATTCTAAAATAATTTAAAAACATGCAATTTGGTCATTCTATTCCAGATCTTTACCTAACAAAGGAAAGCTCATGTTCCTACAAAGACATCTACAGAAATGTTTATAGCAGATTTATTTGTAGTATAAAAGTGGAGAAAACATATATGTTTTTCATCAAGTCGATGTATAAGGAAATTATGAACATCCATTTAATAAGATATTATGAATCAATGAAAATGAATCAAATGTGATCTATACAAGAATATGGATAAAACTCAGGTTAGTTATTCTGAGTGAAACTTACCAGACATACACAGAAGAGTCACTGTTTTGTGATCTCCTCTATAAATTCTAGAAAATGAAAATTAATCAATAGTAACAGAACGCAGGTGCTTTGTTATCTGTGGATCCGCAAAGGGTAGGGTGAAACAGGAATATAAAAGGGAATGATTTATATACGGTGTTAAGAATGTAAATTAATACAGTCATAATGGGAAACAACATGAAGATTCTTCAAAAATCAAAAAGTAGAAGGACTGTATGGCCTGGCAGTCCCATGACCAAGTACTTGCTCCAAGGAACTGTAATCACTTTGCAGAAGGGACCTCTGCACTGGCTTGCTAACAGCAGCACTGTTCTCAGTAGCTAAGATACAGTCAATTAAGATAGCTGAACTTATTTTTTTCCATTTATAAGAGGGGTAATGCATTGTATTAAATATGTAAAGTCTTATCTATGTGGGTTTGATTACAGAAACTAATAAAGTATTCTCTAAATAATAAAAAAGACCTAGTGGATGGATGGCTGTAGAAAGTGCAGCGTAGACACACACGCATGGTGAAGACTCGTCCAGACATCAGAAGGATGAAATCCTGCCAGTCAGGCAACCCAGATGGGACTGGAGGTCATCATGGTAAGTGAAATAAATCAGGCTCAGAGAGGCAAGCACATTTTATATTCTCACTCCTTTGTAGCAGTTAAAATAGTTGATCTTGTAGAAGAGAATAATAGGTACTAGGGGCAGGAAGAGTAAGTGAAGGAGGAATAGAAAGGGATTGGTGGCAGCTCCAAGTGCAGTTAGGTAGGAGGAACTGGTCCCAGTGCTGTGTGGTATAGTAGGCTAACTATATTCTACAGCAACTTAAATATTTCAGACTGACAAGAGACAGACTCAAGAGTTCCCAAATACATAAAAACGACAACTGTTTGAAGAGATGGAAATGCTAATCTTGCTGATTCGATCACTGCACACGGTGTACTCATATTAAGTTGCATGTCTGAACCAGACAGACACATAAATATATTGTGCCAATATTTTTTTTGTAAGGAGGGGCACTAGATAATTTTTGAGAATATTGATGAGTTCACTCTGTGATTGTATCAATGGGCTCACCAGTGTTTATTTATGTCAACCATTTCAAGTTGTGTGTTTTATATGTGCTGCACAGTCTATGTAAAGCATACCTCTTAGGTGACAAAGGAAACCAACACAGAAGGAAAAGTGCTTTGGCTGAGTTCTTGATATTCGAAGTAGCAAAGACCTCGAGCTTATCTTACTTGCCCGGTGAGTGGCTGGACCTCAGCAGCTCTGTGTTGCCAGGGAAGGCAGTCGTATCTGCCTCATAGACGGTGTAGCTGAGACTACAGTTAACATTTCTTGTGTGAAATTCACAGAATCTACCAGAGTGTTTGGGAAAGAGCCAAGAGCAATCCCTCATGTAAAGCCAAGGCACTACTTGAAATTTTTTAAATCTACTTCACCTTCTAAATGAACGACTATTAATAGTTTTTGATTTCCTAGTGTGGGAATATTTCCCAGACAAGCACAAGTCCAAGGATGCCAGAAAAGTGCCAGATAAACTCAGTTCTCCCAAAGGAACCATGAGAGGCACAGCACAACGTAATGCTGTCTCCTCCAGCATTAGGATGTAAGCGAAGATGAGTTCGTTCATCGAGCTGCTATTCCACGTGTGTCAGGAAGCCTGTGTTTTCTGACTGGTTGGGCTGAAATGCAAAAAACTGCAAATGCAGTGCTCTTCCCTCACTTCCCTTTGGTCTTTTCTCAAGGACTGATGTACTTGAAACTCACTGGCACAGTCCACAGAAAGCCTGAAGGGAAGGCTAGGCTGGATCCTCGTGGTCAACTCTAGGGTGTGCATCGATGTATTCCCCAGGCCTCCCTTCTCTAAAACATGTATAGAGTTACGCTTTCCACCACTGACTTCAACCCCAGCTCTCCTCCCGACCTGTGGGGTCACGTGACCACTTGTGGCCAAGGAGTGGTGAGCCTGTTATTTCTGGGCTGCAACCCTGACCTCGTTCCCTGAAGTTCCCCTTTGTTCCTTGCAGGAAAGAAATGGCAACGCTGGCAGTGGAGGTTTCTCCACCAGCTTGAGTGCCACATGGAACGTGGTGGCCACGGCACAGTTCACCTACTTTCAATGACTCCAAGAGAAGAATTAGAAAGTGATGTTTATAATTTGAAGTGGCTCAATTTTAAAGGTTGTTGTGACAGTGCAATTCTGGTCTATCTTGTTTCTTTTTTAAAATTAGAATTTGATAGTTCTAGATTCTGATGTGCTTCTTTTAAGTTATTATTTTTTATTTTACAAACTACGGACAGAAGTAGAATAATGGTTGATAAAACAAATTGATCCTGACTCTACAGAAGATCTCAGGGCATTAAGTAGTCTGGAAAATGGGAAACTATTTTACTAATATAGGGCATTATACTATCTAATGGTAGTATTTGGAGCAAATCATATCTGTAGCCATAGATGTCATAGATAACATTTTTCTAGGCCTAAAATTTGATCTAGAAATAGATAGGTACAAAGATGGTGTAAGACACTAAATACTAAATATATGAAGTTCACTTCTTATGCATTGACTGACATTTATAAAATTATCTGTGGGTAAATTTAAAACGAAGGAGGCACTAGTTCCTCGGGAAGATTTATCTTCATTGAAGTCTTTGCCCTTGTGTGCTGGGCCAGCACCACCCCTGGCGTGAGCTGAGATAATGATGAGGCTGAGTGTGGCAGTGTGCCTATAATCCCATTGCTTGGGAGGCTGAAACAGGAGGTCACTACAAGTCCCATCTGTGTAGTGAGACCCTGTGCTAAATACACACAGACAAAAAAAAGAAGAAAGAAATCTTTACTATCTGTCCTCAATGTTAAAAATAAAATAGCTGTTTTAAAAATGAAGGATACTACTACCTAAATACCCTAAATAATTTTGAGATTTAAAAAAAATTTCACCATTTATGGTATTTGGCCTTTCAAATGTAGTAGTTCATTAAAATACACAAAACAGGAGCCAGGGAGATGGCTCAGTGGAATAAGTGGCAAGCGCAAGAACCTGAGTTCAATTCCCTGTTCCACCAAAAACAAAACTAAACAAAACAGGGGTCGGGGAGATGGCTAGTAGAACAAGCCCTTCTCTGGCAAGCGGAAGGGCCTTAGTTCAATTCCTGGTTCCGAAAAAAAAATAATAATAAAATATTCAAAATATTTAAAAAAGATAACTGGAGAGAATGTTTTCTCCTGCTGTTTATTGAAGTACAATATTATAAAAGCTCATTTCAGTGGTTTGATCAGTGTAGCTTTGAGCCAGAGAGATTGTGAAAAATATGGCAATAGTTTTGCTATTCGTAACTCTTTTCCATCTGAGTCACAGTCTCCTTTCTGTTGTGCACAACCATTTGAATGCATGGGAAAACACCAAGGAGATTTCCAAAGAAACTAAATGTGGAAACAATTGCATATCATCTAAAAATGGAAAATACTTTCCCTGACCAACTAAACCCAGCTTCTTCTCATAAATGAATCTATCCCTAACAAGACTAAGTTTGACACATTAGCCAGAAGTGACATGAGATAGCATTGTATGATTTAGCTGCAAAGCCTCATTGGTTACTAGGTGTGGCTTTTGGAATGTGATTGGATTAGGGGTGTTATAGCTGGCCTGCTCTGGGAGGTGTGGTTTGGTTGAGAGGGGTGCCACTGGATGAGTGCCCGGGAGGGTATATCCCCCTTTCCAGCTCCTCCCTTCAACTTTTCTGCTCGACATGAGCAGTTTCTCTTCTGCCATACATCCCTGTCATGTGCTTCTTTGCAATAGCACAGGGACCACAGACTACAACAGGAGCCAAAATCAACCTCTGCTCCTTTTGGTTGTGTCAGGTGCCTTGTCCCAGCCCTGAGGACTATGAAAAATGCATAGGAGTCACTACATTTTGAAAGCATTTTCATATCGAAGTTAATGACTGAACCAAGGCCACTAACTGTTGTACCTCAGAAAGATTAATAAAGATGCAGAAGATGTTCCAGAAATTAAACTGGGCATGTATGATAAGGACAGAAAACTAAACAGAAGGCCTTGCATGTGTCTGATTCTCTTAATGCTACGCAGCTCTTAGTACCCGACAACTTTGGGGGAAGATGAGAATTATTTGGCTTTTTCATTACCACATAGAATTCTCATGGTAATGAAGCTGGTTCTCTCATTAATATAATTTAAGAGGGTAAAATGACTAAGTCAGAAAAAGACAAAGGAAGACACATCTGCCTATTATCTGAAATTACTGAATCATAGTTGTAAATGTTGAGCAACTTCTGAGCAGTGCACACCTTCTAAAAGTACTTCTAGCCATATAGGCACCACGGTGTGGCAACTTCAGGTGCAGTTGTTGTGTATTTTAATCAGAAGGAAAGTTCTGCCCAATCATCTGCACACAGGGTCAGAGGAGAGCTCTGAAACTTACTTGATTGCATGGTATACAAGGAAAGGAGACTGAGGGGGAAAAAATAAAGGGAGAAGAGAGCAGGAAACAAGGGCCATAAGCTATAAACCCACATGAATGGCCAGAACAAAGTGAGTGGACGCATGAATGAAGTCTTATTTTTCTAGAGGTAGATCCAGGCAGCAAGGAATTGCTGTGTCCTAGGTGGTTTTCCAGTTTCACTGTTTCCTCCGCCATCACGCTTACCAGGCTTTTAGGCAAATGAAGTCCTCACTCATAACCAAAGTTTTTTTCTGAAAGTGGTGTTGGGTTACACTGTTCTTCTGTTTTCAGTCCTTTAGGGAATTTCTACCATTAATAAAAGGAATTCACCTAATGCTAATCCAGAACACCCTCACTGAACTGGCCTCTAGTTAAGGACCCTTCTCGGTGGATTCTTTCCCGTGTTCATTACGCCCCTATAGTAATGACTTGGCAGTTCTGCAACACACCAGACTGGTTTCTTTGGTGGCATAAATATTCTAGTCTTATAAATATTCACGTATGGCTTCGTCTTGTCCTTAATGATTACTCAGCTCAAATTTCACCTCTGCAGAGACAGAGGGCTTCCTACAAGTTATTTTCTGTCTTGATTTTCTGTGGTGTAATTACCAGAGTGCTCAACACTTCTTTCTTACCTGTTTTAATTTACCCTCATTTCAGCTTTAAGATGGAAGTTCTGTGACAGAAACGTGAACAGTCTTCTACCTTTTGCCACCTCATAGAAAAGTGTCTTTCACACTGTAGATACGCAATTTTTTTAAAAATTAATTCAAACATCTCTTGTTCAAGTTGTGTTTAGGGAAAATGACTAAAATCTAGATCAGCATGAAATAAAGTTGGGAAATTAATGAAACCACAAGCTAAGGAAATAGAACATTTCATTAGAGAAAAGTAATTGGCTTTCTTGTTTCAGCTTGGTTACATATGAGGTTTTCTGTTTCATATTTTTCCTGGTTGAGAAAAAAAATTAAGTACATATAAAACAAAGCAAATTGATGATTTTCTTAAAATGTACTTGGTAGTAAGTGATATGCAACTGAAAAAAGTAAATATTTGTGTACCAGCCAAAGTTCTAATTTACATTTTTTTATTTTTATTTTTATTTTTTTAATTTTTATTTATTTATTTTTTGACATCAGTTATTTTATTTTAAAGAAAAAAAATAAAAACAATGGTACAAAATCTCAAAACAAGATTTTAGGAGAGTAACAATGGTTAGTACATTGTGTATTGTTACTGCCAAAGTAGTTTCTCATATTACAAGATATAGGCAAAAAATAATAAATAAACAACATAGGTACAAACCTCTTTTTTTTAAAGTCAACAGAAAATGGAAATATACTTTTTAAAGTTTCTAATACTAGGAGAAGATATCACACAATGTCTTTTAAATAAATTGTAAGTCAAAGATACAGTATAAATCTTAGAACAAAAATTAAGATTAAGCAATATTTAGAAACTTAAATGTTTCAAAACAATTGAACTCAGAAAAAGTTTTCATGATAGCAAAGGAGTACTAGAGTAAAACATAAGATAAATACTGGAATGGCAAATAAATGACCAGCACTTCTAACAGTTTGAGGATAGGATATCGCACAAAGTTGTAGTGTGTTGTGGACATGCATAATGACCGTGACAGTTACTGGTGGCTAGGCGTCATTTGTGGAATTGAGCTACAGCTATTTCTTTGAAATCCACCCTGTAGACTCAGCTAATTTACATTTTATAATTCAATATTTGCAAAGCATTTTTTAAAAATGATTTTATTTATTTGGTACAGGTTCTCACCATGCAGTTTGGACTCATAGTGATCTTCCTGTCTCAGCCTCTCCAGCTCTGGGATTACAGGTGTATGCCACCATGCCTGGTTTTAAAGGCTGGGAGGGCATGGGGCTGGCACGGCTTGTGGTATGGAGGATTGAACCCAAGTCTTTGCTCTTGCCAGGCAAGCGCTTAGACCGCCAACTGTCTCCCGGACCTGTAAAGCTTTTTAATCTGCATTTTCTAGGGACTTGTTTGTATGTAGATGTACTTTTTAACTCATTAAAAATGTGGTTTGGGGGGTAGTGATCCCCACTCAGGACTCCTCACTGGGATTAAAAAACTTGAAGCTCGAGTGACCCCACCGTTGTAACCTTATCGGATTTCATCCAGCACAACTTCTTCCCTTGGTCATAGACACAGGTTTTTAAGCTTGGCCACTTAATTGAAAAAAATTTCCTTTTTTACATAGCATGAATCATGCCAAGGAGAGAAAAGAGTCACTTGTAACTCATCACATGGACATGGACATTTTGACTGGTTAATGTCAGGTTGTGTTATATTTTTTCCTTTTTCTTTTCTTTTTTACAGTATTGGACATGGAACACAGGGACTTTGCACTGAGTTACATATATACCCACTCTTTTTTCTTTTTCCTTTCTCTTTTCCTCTTCTCTTATTTCTCTTCCCTCTCTTATCCCTCTCTCTTCTTCTTTCTCTTCTCTTTTTCTCTTCTCTCCTCTCTTCTCCTTTCCTCTTCTCTTTAATCTCTTCCCTCTCCCATCCCTCTCTCCTCTTCTTTCTCTTCTCTTTCCCTTTCTCTCCTTCTCTCTGTCTGTCTCTGT